ATAAATAAATAAATAAATAAATAAATAAATAAATAAATAAATAAATAAATAAATAAATAAATAAATAAAGTAAACCTGACATAATGAAGGAATGGAAGCATCAAGGAAAAAAAATATTTATCTACTCAAGATAGGCCTGGGAGAGTGGCTTGTGAATGAGCCAGCAACAACACTCACCTTGAAGACACCATCTCAGTGTAGCTACCGTTCTACTGATAATGCATGAGGCATTCAAACAATGGTTGCTGTGGGTTTTTCGGGCTCTTTGGCCGTGTTCTGAAGGTTGTTTTTCCTAACGTTTCATCAGTCTCTGTGGCCGGCATCTTTAGAGGACAGCACTCTGTGCTCTGGCCACAGAGACTGGCAAAACGTTAGGAAGAACAACCTTCAGAACACGGCCAAAGAGCCCGAAAACCCCACAACAACCATCAGATCCCAGCCGTGAAAGCCTTTGCGAATACATTCAAACAATATTTTGTTTTAGACGACACTCAAATATCCTCTTTGGGTATTAGCTTTGCCTTCTTTGGTTAAAAATCTATCCAGCTGGCAATATGCACCAGTGGTGTGAAATATATTTCAGCTTGAGGATTGCATTCCAATTTAGAAAGAGTCCAGAGATCTGTATATACTAGGAAAGGGTTGAACTAAGGACACAGGGTAAGATCAAGGACAGAAGAGGCAAGGCCAAAGCAGAGGAGGAAGAGCAAGGCATATCACTTTACTAAGCTGCTATTTTCTCATCACACAAACAGAAAAGCTCAAGTTGTCTGAAGAAGTGTACATATCCATGAAAGCTCAAATGGAAGTTTAACAGCTAATCTTTAAGTTGCTGGTATGTCTTTGTGTATGTGTTGTTATTGCTTTCAGGACATGCTTGCACAGATTAACACAGCTATGTCTTTAGATGGCAGAAGCATCTTGCATAGCTCCACTGTGCACGACTGCTGGGCCCTTTCTTAATACCGACATAAATCAAACCCTTTTTGCTGCAAAGTGGGGCTCATTACACAACATTGAGTCACTGGCAGAGCAGGCAAGATTATCAAGCACTACCAAATAGTTTTCCAGCATATCCCAGATTAAAGGCTGGTCCTAAGGCAGGACAAAGAATAACATCCAGCTTCATCTTCCTCCATTCAGCAATGAATTCATCACGGTATGCCTAGAGAAAGAGAATAAGAAATATCATTATCTCCTTTTATATACTTTTCTCATCTTGAATTGATTACTCACTTCGAAAATAGAAATGTGTTTAGATATCCCAGCATTCTGGTTGCTAATCAACATATAATATAAGAAACTCAATAGGGCTCTAGGGTTCATAAATGCGAGGGGAAATCTGAATTTTGGTAAAGAATGCTTTCACTTTAATGGGTTTGTTAAAGTCTCCTTCACCAGAAGGAGAATATGAACTTCAAGTACTGAGAAGTTGAAAGATAGCACTATCCCAGTTTCCCTTCACCATGGTTCCTATTTTCCTTTCCTCCATTCTTACAAACCAATTTTTCATCCAAGAATGCCTTTTCATCTGCCAAAGTCTAACAAAATATTGCCTGAATTCAAAGCCTGACCCTCCGAAATTCCCTTGAATGTCAAATTAAGACATCTTGACATCCCATCAGCATTAAGAGTTCAAGATCACAACCTGGAACCTGATGCAACCACCAAATGAAAATGCAACATTTAAAATGTGCACACTGTCCTATGAAAATATTTTGTATTTTACAGTTTGATTTAATAGTTTCTAGTAGACAGGTTTTTGTGTACATAAAGACTTTGACCTCTGCTATCTGTACAGGAGGCTGGTAAGTTCAGATGCCAGGAATTATTCACTCCAGCAACATTTAAGTCATACAAGTTATGACCTCCATAAAGAGACAGGTTTCTAAAATAGAAGATAACATCTTCCCCTTATCTGCATGTTGTGCAGGTCCATTTTATAACATATTTAGCAAATATATCAGCTAAGGTATGGGCACAGAGTAAAACCTGCTTGACTGGACTGGTTGCTTCAGCAACCAACTTCTTCTGAACCTGCCACTGAAAATAGCAAGAACATGAAATGAATTATCAGAAAATTACATGAGCATTTAATAGAATCTTACCAACATACAGCTTTCGTAAGCAAGATCTTTATGTGCTAACAATAGTTATATTGTATTAGGTAATTAGCTCTAATTTCAAAGCAGACAAATGCCCTAACACAGTTTAAATGACATGACTATGAAGATCCCTACAATGCATTACCAGTAGGCAACACAAGTGTCATAAACCTCAAGCAGCTTCCAAACAACCCATGAGCCAAATATCAGTGGCAGAACCCGTGAGTTGTATGCAGAAGCTCCTGAATTTGGTCCCTGGGCGAGAAAGGTGCCTGTTCAAAACCCTGCACATCTGAAACAAGGCAGGATAGACTGGGTATGGGCTGTGTGCAGCTCTCTATGTTTTAGGCTGGAAATCCCATCCTCCCTCACCATTGGGATACTTTCTAGGCCTGGTGGAAGACTCAGTCTAAGAAACATCTCAAGGCAACCTTTTTGGTGTCAGTGGTGTAGATGGGATGGCCACTGACACATCTCTGAAAAGGAGGACATGCCAGTGCCACAAAGGATGACAAAAGGGGATGCTTATTTGCATAAAACTCAATATGTTAATTAATATGTACAGATGCTGCCAAGGATTATAATGCATCTGACTTGAGTTGAAAAGACCGTGAGCATAGAATGTACATGCTTACTGAGTTCACTGTCCAGGTGTTCACTGTGGACAGGAAAGTTCAGGGTCCCTCATCTCCCCCTTTAAATATATCTTCAGGTTGGGCTTGGACCAGACAGTGCTTCCAACAGAGGATATCTTCAAAAGAAGGATTGTCCTCTGGCAGCTGTTTAAACTGAGGACTGGCATCCCTAAAAGAGGACATATGACCACCCTAGATGTAGACAGTTCTGAAGTGGATGGACTAAAGGTTTGGTTCAGTATACAACAACTTCCAGTGACTACTGTGCTCAGTGTTTTACCAACATCTCAAGGTAAGGCTGGGAAGCAACTACATGAAATCCTGGAGAGACGCTATCCATCAAAGCCACTTATGCTGGTCCAGGTGCACTAACAGCCTGACTCTGTACAAGGCAGATTCTTATATCCCCATGAAACAATCCTTCCCATACAGACTACTCTCTGCTGAAGATAATACAGAAAAATAGATTGATCTCCTTAATTTTCTTTAACTTGAAATGAGGAAACATAATTACCATTCGGTCAGCGTTGTTCTTCCAGAAGTTTTTCACTGACCTAGGAAGTTTGTAGAACATGTGCAAATTAACAGTAAGAATTCTAAAACTATTCCTCCTTCCCAATGCTTAAGCAACCCTGAGTGCATAAGTACATTTAGCTATCAAAACTCATCTGCAGAAATATAGCTGTATGTTAGATGAAAATCAATATAGCCTTTGGAAATATCTCAATAAAATGTCAAACACAGCCTGTCCTGAAATGGCCATGAGTCACTAGTGATAGTACATCCCAGAAGTTCAACGGTGCTATAAATTCCTCCAGAATGTTGAGACACATGTTATTCTTACAGTCAGATTATTTAAATTTTCATACGCACATTTGTCTCTCCATCAAGAAAGCTATTAGCAATGATAATTAGATTAGCAATCTGCTCCAGTGTCACAGTTTGCTTGATCAGGCAATGGAAAACAGGTGTCCAAAATTTGGTTTTCTATATTCACAGGATTGTTCCCCAAAGAACTCCATGTTCATTTACTCCCACATAATGTAAAATATCCCATACAGTTTCAAGAATTTCAGAGCAATGCGAATTGCAAATATTTCCCTGCTTCCAAATTTCCTTGCAGAATATAGTATCTTTTGCACTAGCCCTGTATTTTACTGCTACCTAGTGGTTGGAATAGAACACAACAGCATTCTAAATACTGCTCCACGGTATGTGGAACATAAGACAATTTCCAAATTTCAGGGTGCGGTGGTGCATTTACTAGATATTTACCCCATAAAGAAATTGTTGCATCTTTTTATTTGACCCCACAAAAAAATGTCACCACCACATGGATTTTGGAATAAAAATGTGTTCTATGGTGTTTTACCAACAAAAAAAGATGGGAATGTGGCATAGGCTTTCATACATTGTTGTGCATTACATAAAGATAATGAACTATGCACATACACATGCAATACATATGGATACACCTGAAGCTCATAAAAGCTATACATATCTTCATGCTTCCATCTGCCACCTGGGGCACACAACGCAATCCTTCACTTACATTGAAGCTCTACAAAAACATGTACCTATTCCTTCTTCCTGGGTGCTGGATGGTAAACATGAGCTTACTTTGCAAGTCTGCCTGCTAAGATATAAATTTCTCAGGAAATTCTGTCTCTAGAGGGGAAATACGTTAATCTCAGGCTTTGCTCTTCATGTCTCATTTGCTCCAAAGTCAAGCTTTAGATGTTAGCCTTCCAGGTGTTAGTGGACTGAATTCCTACCATTCCTGAGCTAGGCTGAATGGATGTTGCAGTCTAACAACCTTCAAAGGATCACACTTTGTTCAACCTCGCTTCTAACAGTGTTTGGCACCACTGGAGCAAAGTATCAGAGCAAGCTCCTTCAAGGCCCCCTTGTCACGAATACTGATGGAGGTTGTATAGCAGAAAATCAGAACCAAAACAAAACAAAAACAATTGGTGGGAGAAACAAGGAAGATGAGACACATCTCAGTAGCACAGTATCATGTGCCCACACTGGGCAAGGCATGAAAACATGATAAACCCCATTGTTCATGGCTCTCGTGGTTGCAGATTTTTATAACATTTTTGATATTGCACAAAAATATTTATGGTTGCACATAAAGCTAGAAAAATGTGTTAACTACTTCTGAATGACCAGTTGCTATCAATTATCCCTGCTGTTTCACTCTTCTCATGCTTACTGGTTATTCTCACATGCATTTTGTTATGTTTTTTTTATAGCTGTTTTATAATTTGTGGAAACATAGCTAGGGATTCTCATGAAGAATAAGATATTAATAAAATTCAACGAACAAACAACTGTTTAAAGTCAAGGAAAGTTCTCTCACCCCACTCCAAGGAGGGCATGCAGATGTCGGGAGATTCGTGGAAACTGGAAAAGTAACAACATATTGCATTAGAAATTTAGCAAAATGAGAATGGAACATGATAGCTAAATTCAAATACATTCATGATGGAACTCCTGACTAAATCTGATTTTGATTGAAAAGTCCGATAACCACAAAATACAGAAGGAGGAATGTGTCATACTCTAATTTCTGTGTGTAGCCATGACTCATGTTCCCTGGTGGACCTGTCCAGCTGTTACCAAGAGCTGTTAGTTGATGGGACTCCTGGTGCCAGTTGTCCTTCCACCAAACAAATAACTTAACACACTATTACCAGCATGGTTCACATGGGCAGTAGAGTTGATGTAGCCTATAGTCACCTACTACCTTTCCTTTTTATGAAATGATTGAGGTTTCTATCTATAGATTATATTGTAATCAATGCCTCCCTCTATCAGAATGTAATGTGTCCTGTACTTCCAAGAAACATTCAGGTAACTTCCTTCTGTATTGGAAATAGAAATATGTGACCCACTTGTAATGCGTATATGCTCTTTTATATTGGACCAATCCCCACCCTTCACCTACATACATAGAATTATATTATATCTTTAAGTGTACTTCAGTTGTAAGCCACTTTGGGAGTCAATACTATGAACAAAGGAACAAGTAACACACATACAAATATACACTTCTATTTGATCTGTTTCTTACCACTTACTTACCTTACATGAAGATAGCACTGAGAACATGGATAGCCAATAGACAAATCACGCTAACCACACCAAGATGCACATTTCACCCTGAAGCTGACAATGATTGTTTTGCAATTATGGAGGCAGGGAGGGAGAAACAGTCTTGAGAAAACTGTGCCTGAGAGTACGTATCCTTAAAGTTCAATTCCTGCCTCTCTACTGTCTTTGGAACTTCAAGATAGCACTTCTCTGAACATCATCTGATGACTTGTGACTTCTCTTCTTGCTTGACAAATCTCCTTCAAAGCCCCTTCATGAATGGAAGTGACCATCAATGCCAACTTTCAATGCCAATTCCATATCTAATGCTCAACTCATAAATTTTGTTGGAGTTGAGATTCTCAACAAAACTATATCCACTAAGACATCACTGAAACATTCACACATGGAACACAAAGGTCTGAAAATATACCAAAAATGCATTTGATTCAATGCACTTAGAGTGCTGGTGTGATTGGAAGGGTGAGCCCCTGATCAAGGGTGAGCCCCTGATCAAACAAGTTGTGTAAGCCCATTGAGCTGCTCTGCTTCAGAACTTTGTATTTGTTACATGGGCTCAATAACTTCCAGGTAGGGATATGATGTGGGGACACTAGGGTTTATGTGTTCATCCCCCATTTTCAGCACTCTTGCAGCCTTCTAATAGATTCAGGCCTAACATGTGAATAGGGCTTAAGTTTAGATATGTGGAAAAGTGAGGGATATCACCTTATTCTTTTTACCGCAAGGTGTCCCTTCTCTCATACTCTGTTATTTTTATCCATTCCTTTTTGGTAACGTGCTTTATCATATTAATTGTAAGAACTAGATCCAATCCTAAGATTTGATGATATATTTTATGAATTTCATAACAACAAATAATAATGGTATTCCATCAAACCAATTCCAAATTACAATTCTTATTTCAGAAGTCAATTACAAATCCTTTCTCCCAAAGACAATCTGGCACTCTGCAGTTTGCCCAAGGCTACATAGACAGGCTTTTCCCCTGGGAAGCACAGTGAGAAGTACCTGCGCGCGCAAACGGCGCATCGCGCCGTTGAGCATCGTGCGCCCCGTTTGCTCTCCTTGCCCGGAAGGACGCAGCAGCAGCGGGGCCATGTGAGGCAATGCCTGGGGCCGTGACGCTATAAAAGAGCGCCGGCCCGGGACGCAGTTTCTCTTTCGGATTGGCAGGCTGAGGGAGAGGATCGTGCGGCTGGTCTGGGAACAAGGAGAAGTCTGGTTTGGGGAAAGGGGTTGGCGGTTCGGGGGGAGGTAGGACTAGGTAGCTGGGTGATTGGGCTGAGTGCGTGTGTGTGTGTGTAGGGGAGAGTGATTGGGGAGTCTGGCGGGGGGTGGGGAGCATTAGGAGGGTTAGTGGGTGCCGGTTTGGAGGCCTTGCGCGGCTGGCGGACCGTGCCCACAGCCCGACCGTCAGCTGTTGGGCGCTTCCCACCTCACTGCGCTGCTTAGGCAGCGCTGCAGCAGCGTCTAGGCGACGTGGACGTTGTTTTTTGCTGGCGCCCCCCCCTCCCCTCTGTTCAAGCCATCAGGGACGGCGAGGGGAGTGGGTTGGTTTGATAAAGCAGTGGGTCGCTGGCGGTGCTGCTTATTTGGAGGGGCGTGTGGGTTTGACACCCCCTCCTATTGGGAGCGTGACTGGCTGAGGGGACTGAAGGATTGCCCCCTCCACACATTTTAGGAAGGGATTAATTGAAAAAAAAATAAAAATAAATAAAAATAAATAAAATAGGAAAGGAGTGTGTGTAGGAATTGTGCGCGATTGTTCCCATTCCCCTCGCGCAACCTTTAATAATAAGAGAGGTGGAGAGGCGCGGGGGAGTTGGGCTCTGGCAGCCATTTTGGTGTTCTTGGTGTGGGGGCCGCATGGTTTGTTATCGGCGGCCATTTTAGGTGCTTGGTTTATTGAACATTAAAAAAAAAAAGGAGGAAGAAAGTCATTGATAAAAGAGAGCTTTAGTGGGGGGGGGTG